GTCTTTAACTCATTTAATGCATTAGAATGATGTTGAGTCCACAACCATATTATATTTTTTTTTAACAACTCCCTTAAAGTTGATGTTACTTTAGACATGTTTGGTATGAATTCTCTTAGATAATTACACATACCTAGTATGCGTTGCAACTCTATTTTATTTTTTGGCTCCTTTAAATTTTTTATAGCTTCTATTTGACTTTCATCTGGCTTAACTCCCTCATTATTAAATTTCATTCCTAAATACTTTATTTCATTTTGTCTATACTGTACTTTTTCTGGATTAAACTTAACATTCAATTCTTTTGCTTTGTTTATTACTTCTTCTAGCGCCTCATCATGTTCTTTTTCATTACTACCAACTATTAATATATCATCTATATATATAATTACATTTTTAATATGTCCAAAATATTTTGTTAAAGTCTTAAAAAATACTTCTGGGGCGCATGATATTCCAAAAGGTAATCTTTTAAATGCATAATACCCATAAGGTGAGCTAAAAGTACACAATTCACTTGACTCCTCACTTAGCGGTATCTGATAAAAACTTTCTCTAAGATCTATAACTGTAAAAATTGTTTTATTTACCAATTTTGCTCTTATTTCATCTACTGTAGGAATTAAAAAATAATCTCTTTTAATATACTTATTTAAATCAGTTGGATCCAAACATATTCTTAAATTACCATTCGCTTTTTCTACAATAACAATATTACTGGCAAATGACTTAGGATATTCAACTGGTTTGATTATTCCCTTATCACACAATGATTTCAGAGTATCTTCTAACTTTTTAAGAATAGATTGAGGTACTCTATGTGGTGGCTTAATTGTACATTGGTAATCTGGCATTAACCTAATAGTATATTCCTCACCAAACTTACCCAAGCCCTGAAACACACTCTCATTTTCTTTTATAAATTGCTCTTTGTCTGAATATTTTTCTTTTAACTGAACGTCACTTACTCTTTTAATTAAATCTAATTCCATACAGTCACTTAACCCTAATAATGGTTCAATTTTACACTCAAGCTCTAAATCATTAATAACAACAAATTTTAATACACAATTTTTATTATTAACTATACATTCTAACGTTATCTCGCCAACTGCTTCAATAATAAAGCCTCCATAAGCTTGTATTTTCACCTCATATTTTAGCATATTATAATTCTTATTTAACTTTTTTAAAATACTCAAAGGTAAAATATTTATATCAGAACCTGTATCAAGCTTAAACTTAATAACATTATTATCAACAATTATATTTTCNGCCTCATCATGTTCTTTTTCATTACTACCAACTATTAATATATCATCTATATATATAATTACATTTTTAATATGTCCAAAATATTTTGTTAAAGTCTTAAAAAATACTTCTGGGGCGCATGATATTCCAAAAGGTAATCTTTTAAATGCATAATACCCATAAGGTGAGCTAAAAGTACACAATTCACTTGACTCCTCACTTAGCGGTATCTGATAAAAACTTTCTCTAAGATCTATAACTGTAAAAATTGTTCTATTTACCAATTTTGCTCTTATTTCATCTACTGTAGGAATTAAAAAATAATATCTTTTAATATACTTATTTAAATCAGTTGGATCCAAACATATTCTTAAATTACCATTCGCTTTTTCTACAATAACAATATTACTGGCAAATGACTTAGGATATTCAACTGGTTTGATTATTCCCTTATCACACAATGATTTCAGAGTATCTTCTAACTTTTTAAGAATAGATTGAGGTACTCTACGTGGTGGCTTAATTGTACATTGGTAATCTGGCATTAACCTAATAGTATATT